CGAAACGTTTCTACATTTTTTGTTGTTTTGCTTTGTTTTTTTTTTTTGTTTTTTTTGAATGTCCAGAGGACCAGATTTAACTTTTTTAGATTTTTCTACCTGGATTATTGAGCATGCATCAGGATATTTTGAACCACTTTGGCCAGGATTGCCTCAAACTAGTTAGAGAGTTTGAGAAAACAGCAAGGAAGAGGGCAGACTACAGGAACCATTTGCGATTCAACCTCAGATGTCGACAAAGTGGCATCATTCCCAAGAGCCTGGAACTAAAATCTTCGGTCAGCGGGCACCGGGCAAGCAAGATCCTTCAGAAGGCACAAACACAGCTGCTGAATGAACGGGTGAGACAGACCAATTTTACTATTGAGGCCTTGAAGGCCAAAGAAGAGCACATTAAACAGAAACTAACTATGTGTCTAGATCAGACCACACTTCAGCAAGTGATGGACTGTACAGATCAGGCACGCTTAGCACAGCATGTCAAGTCCAAGACTCGACAACAAAACAAGTTTAACTTACTAATAACTCATCAACAACATCACTATTCCAATAACAACACATTCAGTGTAGGACAACACTCCAGTAGTCAATTACATGCCAGGGAGACAGAAAAGTGGGTGAAGAATTTATCTGACAGACAGCTCACCCAGCCAGAGACAGAGATTCTTGTCAGGGGACTGAACTTTGCGGTTGCACCAAGTAGAATTCCTCTGGTGGAGATGATCACAGCTACTGAGTCAGCCATCCGCAACAACAAAATTAAAGAGGCTGAAGCAGAACAGCTCAGAGTCAAAGTTTCAGCCTGCCTCAGCAATGCCAAACCACCACCTTCCAACATCAGTAGAGAGGAGAGGGACGCACTCACCACTCTTAGCAAGGACAAAAACATCATCATTCTCCCAGCAGACAAAGGAAGGTGCACAGTGATTTTGAACCAGAAAGACTATCATGAGAAAGTTATGACACTCCTTAGTGACGTAAACACTTATGAACCTCTGAAAAGAGATCCAGGAAGTGGTTACAAGAAGAAATTGATAGATTGCCTGAAAATTTTGGAGCAGGACAAGGCTATTGACCGTTTTCTGTACCACAGACTGTACCCAGGGGAGGCCACACCTAGTCTTTATGGTTTACCTAAAATCCACAAACAAGGTGTACCTTTAAGACCAATCGTTAGCATGATCAACTCTGTCACTTACAATGTTTCCAAATATCTGGCGTCTGTACTCATCCCTTTAGTTGGCAGCTCAGAACACCACATACAGAACACCATGGACTTTGTGGATAAGGTGAGGGATGTCATCATGGAGACTGATGAAACAATGGTCTCTTTTGATGTCACATCACTCTTTACGTGCATTCCTGTTGAGGATGCAGTAGAGGTGGTCAGTTTAAAATTAAAATCAGACACCACTCTGAGCAGCAGGACCACGCTTTCCACAGAACAACTGTGTCAACTCTTGAAACTGTGCCTGCAGTCAACCTACTTCACATATGGGGAGCAATATTATAGGCAGAAACATGGGTGTGCTATGGGGTCTCCAGTTTCTCCTATTGTTGCCAACCTGTACATGGAGGAGGTAGAAAAGAGAGCCTTGACGTCCTTTTCAGGGACACCACCAAGTCATTGGTTCAGGTATGTTGACGACACCTGGGTTAAAATCAAATCTCAGGAAGTCCAACATTTTACTGACCACATCAACTCTGTGGATAAATACATCAAGTTCACACGAGAAGATGTAAAAAATGGCAGGTTGGCTTTCTTGGACAGTGAGGTCTCAGTCTCTGATAGAGGACATTTGCAAACTGAGGTGTACCGCAAACCCACACACACAGACCAGTATTTGCAGTTTGACTCCCATCACCCTTTGGAGCACAAGTTAGGAGTCATCAGGACTCTGTACCACAGAGCAGACAGCATCCCCACTAGCTCAGGAGCCAGGCAGAAGGAGAAATCCCACACAAGACAGGCTCTAGAGCAATGTGGATATCCTAACTGGGCCTTCCTAAAAGCAGAGAAGAAACCCAAACAGGACTCCAGTCAGCCAACAGGTGAAAAGGAGGAACCCAGACCCAGACCAGTGGTCATTCCATATGTTGAGGGAGTATCAGAGAAACTGAGACGTTTATTTTCTAAACATAACGTCCCAGTGGCTTTTAAACCCCAAAATACATTACGGCAAAGACTGGTTCATCCCAAAGATCCAGTCCCCCGGCACAAACAGAGTAATGTTGTGTATGCTGTTCAGTGTCAGGAGGGCTGTGATCAGTCTTACATCGGGGAAACAAAACAGCCACTGGCCAAAAGGATGGCCCAGCACAGAAGATCAACATCATCAGGCCAGGACTCTGCGGTCTACACTCATCTCCAGGCCAGCGGTCACTCTTTCAGGGATGAAGATGTGCACATCCTGGATAGAGAGGAACGATGGTTTGAGAGAGGAGTAAAGGAGGCCATCTTTGTGAAAAGAAACCATCCATCATTAAACAGGGGTGGAGGCCTCCGTGTTCAATTGTCCCCCTCTTACAATGCAGTGATTGCTAGTATCACTCAGCCCTCTGTGAACAGTAAACAGCCATCAGTGTGCTAATGATCCATTGTGAGGCTGATGGTCCTTCTTGAGCATGTGATCAGTTGGTTTTGGTTGTCAGCAGCAAAACTGGTTGATCCACTCTGAGAAGGTGCTATTTAAGAGACTGAGCTGAAAACAGCACCTCAGACTGAAGAAGTCTCTCGGACGAGAGACGAAACGTTTCTACATTTTTTGTTGTTTTGCTTTGTTTTTTTTTTTTTTGTTTTTTTTTTTTTTTGAATGTCCAGAGGACCAGATTTAACTTTTTTAGAAAGTTAGGTTACATTTTACCTTCCTGAAATGAAAGCACTCTTTTTTCCTCCTATATTCAAATAAAACTTGAGGTCATGAACAGTTCGGGCTCACTGAGAAGTTGCCTGATATGAAACCTACCCAGGGTCCAGGAGATTTCCGTAGCCGTCATGCTTGGGCCTTCCTTTGCTAAACTCCATGCTTGTAATGAATGCTGGACCTTATCAGAGAAACAAAATCAGCATTTATCCAGTTTAACCCATTAATGGGTTACAAATGGAATGAGCCTGAGATGTAATGTGCAAAAATTAAGTGTTTTCATGCCTGAATGGTGCTCGCAGTGACCTCCATGGTGGTCTCTGTACTCCCTGCACCCAGCTTTTTCCTCCAGCCCTGGACAGGGTTCTCCACCGTTCCCAGGCCGCTGCTGTATGTGACGGACCCGGACTCTTACTGAAGGCTGGCAGGGCTTGGCACAGCCGCTCCAAAAGCTCCAGTTGCTCACAGCACAGTCCCGAGCTAAAAATTGACGCCACCACACGAAAAAAATATATTATAGCAAACATACCTCAAATGTTGTAGACTGTATAATCAATAATCATATCAATCAAACCATCTAAATATCCAGGAAATAACTTGAGATCAATGAAGCATTAACTATACCTCGTGCACCTAATGTTTTCTGCTCCATTTCAAATTATTTGAGGGGTTTCCAGCCGAGCACCCACACCCTCTCATTTCCCCCTTTTTCCTTTACAGTTGCACTCCATTATTAATGACCAAGCTTTGAAGTAGAAGATGTGCAGATTTGGAGGTATTAAGTATGCTCGGGTTGTTTGCCTGGCGCTGTAATTGCTACAACTGATTGACATTCACATTCTTCAAATGTTTGGACTTATTCCATTATGTGGGGCAGTCCACTGAAACGTGCTCCGACACAAAGTTCGCTGAGGTTTTTGGTGTACACTCACAGATTTAAATACAATTTTAGGCTGACTGAATATTGATAATACTCTTTTCCTTCATAATCAGCTCAGTTTATCTCAGAGTGGTGTCATGTTAAGCTCTTCTGTGATTCGCTGGCGTTCCCCTCATCGCTCACCTGGACACTCTGTGAAGTAGTCGAAGCAGCAGTCCTTGGTTTTGACACAGTCCTCGTCACAGTAGCACTTCCCATACACACGATCCGTCCTCCAGTCTGTGGCTGAACAGCTCGAATCTCTGCCCCTGCAGCACCTCCCTGAGCAACCAGCAGCCACTGGGTGAATCTGTCCGAGAGTGGACAGCAGCAGCCAACAAGCAACCTCAACATGGGCTCTCATCACGGGGAGGTCACGCCAGGAGTCCAAATGTAAACGTGAACAAACTCTTCTTCCAGGACGTTTAATCCTGGTCTTCCTCACTCATGCTTGTGATAGAGCGAGCCCAGCAAAGACAACTCCAACACAGTAGCTCCTGTCTTGGGTGTCCAGCTCTTTCCCAGTAAAAGCAACCTCCAGTTCAAGCACGGATCAGATCAGACTTCCATGCCTCGTGTTGTATCTCTGTCAGGTCCAGCTGAATACCTCCCTCCCAGGCGATACGACATGAAGGGAGGGGTGATCCACTGGGTTGTCTTTCTCTCCTGCCTCTGGTCTTTCCCTCTTCCCTCCTTCTCACCTGCCTTCTTATTAATAACTACGATCCTGATGCCACGGTAGCCCACCTCAGATCTCTCCGTTTTAAAAGAAAGGGAGGAATGTGAGCAGTTGGCAACTCTCCAGACAATTGTGCTGCGGGGCGGTGGGAGAACACTGAAGCCACCCTTTATTTCTCACGTTTCTGCCTTTTAGTACCGTAAAAATGAGGCATTAGTTTTAGTTTGTATCTAATATTTTTGTATATATATTGTTAAGTTGAATATTTTTAGATCTTTTGAATAAAATGGTGTAGATAGTGCTTTGAATGTCCTGTTTAGAGAAATAGAAAGGATGTTCAAAGAGCTATTTGCAATGTTTTGAGTGTTCTCAGGCTCAGATAGTGCGGAGTTCAGTCATTTGTGAGGGAGTTCAGAGTAGAGCATCTTTACATCAAAAGGAGTCAGTTGAGGTAGTTCAGGTATCCGATTAAGTTTTCCGGGCATGTCTCATGGGAAGAGGCCTCAGGGAAAACCCAGAACTTCTCAGGACCCTCCAGGAGGAGCTGGTGAGTGTTGGGGAGAGGGATGTCTGCGTTTCTTCCCTGGATCTGTTGCCTCCATGACCCGACTATAGATAGGAAGATGAAGCTCTTCATCATAATCAGCAGCAGAAGTGCACAAATACAAAAGCGTATTTAAAAAGAAAATCTAAGGAATCCAAACTCACTTCAGAAACTGCAGAACTCTCATTGGGACATTTAAAATCACAAGAACTGGGTAAAGGTAAAACGAGATGGCGTCTGTCTCCTTGATATTCCTCATATATGTAAAAAAAAAAAAGACTTAATTTACACTTGAAGTAGAGCTGATTTAATCTGTCCACTGGTGCAAAGCGTCAGCATGTTAGAAATGCACATCAAAGCACGTGTTCTGCCCTCTGAGCGCATTTGTCAGAGACGATCAGCCTAACCATTAAACACACCCTGCTTGGTGTCTTCTTAGTGTATCAAAGTGGCAAAGGGGAAGAAATTAGTGCCACGTTCATGGATCCCAAATAGCCACAGATTGTTTTTGAGTCGTCAAAAATCCGTATTAACAAAATACACACACCTAAGAGGAACTGATTGGATTTAGTTGTGCCTCCACCCCTCATGCAGGACGTCAGAGAGCTGACGGGGCAACCCTTCGCTCCATCACGGCTAAGGGGAATGCAAACACTACCTGTCCCCATGGCAACACCAGTCCCCAGTTGCTATAGTTTCAAAACAGTTGTTGAGAAGTTTTGGGGTTCAGCCTTTCATCTCAACCTGTGGTTGTAAGGTTAAGACGATGTCCGGCCAGACAGTTCAAGATGAAAATGAATTTAACCAGGGCTTCATTCGTAAACCGATTGATGCCGGAACACAAATAGCGGAAGAGAGAACATGCACACTCCACCCAGAAAGGCCCCCGGACTGGGATTTGAACCGGGGCAACCTGCTCGCTGAGAGGCGGCAGCTCTACCAACTGTGCCACTGTGCTGACCGGTCTCCCCCAGAAAATTTTGAATAAATTATTTGTGATTTTCAGTATTTTGGTCTACTTTAACAGGTTGTGAAACAACTACGTTTACCTACAATTGTAAACCACTGGTTCTCAACCCTGGTCCTTGAGGAACACCATCCTACATGTTTTAGTCGTTTCCCTGCTCCAACACACCTGATTCAGTGATTTAATGACCATGTTTTTCGACCTATAAGTTGCAGTTTTTTGCATAATTTACATGCCCTGCGACTTATAGGCCGAAGCGACATATTTATGGATTTTTCCACTTTATTAGACAAATATGGACTGATGAGACTTATAGCGCGATGCGACAAGTACGCCGGAAAATACGGTACTTCCTCATGTTCTGCAGAAGCCTGTCAATTACCCATTAATTAAAATCAGGTGTGTCGGAGCAGCGAAACAACTAAAACGTGCAGGATGGTGTTCCTCAAGGACCATGGTTGGGAGCCCCTGTTGTAAACACTCCGCTTCTGTCAAGGATCCCCCCACCCCATACTTGATATATGGTCAAGTAAGTCGGGTTCAGAACCAAGGGACAAGCAGGGACAGTGTCGGGCTCGTTGTTGTCCGACTCCACATGTGAAACCTCCAGGTGCCTGCAGCTGCCTGTGGACTCCTGTCCACGTACGACTGCCTGGTTAAGTCGGGGTCTGCACTCACCCACACCACTCTTTTAGGTAGGGGTGGAGATTTTTTTAAGGGTAGACTCAGAAACGCTACTTGAAGATGCAGATCATACGCTCATAATTGTTGTGTTTAAAATGAGTGTTCATATAATTATTTTCAGTTTACATATCCAATATAAGTTTAATTCCTTCAAGGCAGTCATATTTGTTCATAACTTTATTAGTAGTAAGCCTGAGAGTTACCGGAACGCACCCTGTCAAAATAAGACAGTTCCCGGATCCTGTTCCTGAAGGATCTGGCTCAGATTAAGCCCTGTGTTTAACCTTAGAAATGATCAAATTAAAGAGTTAGCTAGAGTAGTCTGGGTTTGTTACTTCCCAATTGGTAGCGTCAGTGAACGCCATACATACATGTTCCTCACTCACAAGGTTTAGATGAGTTTTGACTCACACCCTCAACAGAACCTTGTAGTACATCCTCATGATGCTTCATTTGTGACAAGTTTGCTGCTTATGGATGAAAACAAACTCCTCCAGGAGTCAGGAGGACTGATGAGACTTGCTCTGCCGGTTGGCTGGGCTTGGACCAACGCCACCACCACGACACAGAGACAGTGATATTGACGAAAGGTTCCCCCCTCGCTCGCGCCCGACATCGTCGCTGATAATTGCCTGATCATCAGTCACCTCCCTTGGCGAATAGTTCCATATGTATGCAAATCATTGCAGCAGGTAGATGGGGCGAGATGTGGGGGCGTGGAGCTCGACTGACCCCTGCTTTGGAGAGAGAAAGATGAAACTTCATCTGCAGACGACAGGAGGAGTGCGTCTGTTGGAGCAGATTGCATAAATCTTTACAAAAAGCTGTGAGATGGGGTATATTGGGCCGAGAGAAAAAAAAAAAAACCCACAATACTTTAACCTCAGAATCATTCATGTTATTTCAAGGAAAACTCACACTTCATAACAGCAAATCATATTTATTTTTTACAGAAATTTGCTTTTAAAAAGTTTGTAGGAAGTTAATTAGATGTGTGCCTTTCTAGCAAGTCCAAATCATGATCAGTCTGTCTGTGCCTAACACTTGATATGTTTTTTCCTAAACATTTAACATAACCATTACCGTAAAATGCATTTAGCCTCAGTCTGTTGAAAAATACTTTTATTAATGTTTATTCCTTAAGCTCTACTATATTTAAGTAAAAGTGGTCTACCTGAAAAATGGATCATTAGACACGATCATTTTAACTCCAGTTTGTCATCAACTCTAGTTAAAATACTGTCGAGTCAACCTTGTAATGGGCCAATAGTGAATAATGTTTTAACTTGAAGACATCTCTTGTCTCCTAACATCCCATGAACTGACACATTTTAATATTGCAGCAAGAATTTCTTGTTCAAGTTCAGAAGAAGTTGGTTTTCAAAGTTTTTTGAGTTCAGTCTGGCTCTTTTTGGAGAGAATCTGTCCTGAATATTTTTTTCAATAGTCTTTCAATAATGCCATGGGTGGCGTGTGTTTTTTGGTTGACTCTCTGCGGTGGAATCCATTTTGGGCGTGTTGGTGCGCCCAGCTCAGTGATGTAGATACTAGAATATAAGTCATTGGTCCAGCTCTTCTTGAAGGCAGGTCTATTATTACCCGTCCACTTTGCAGTGATTCAATGGACCAACTCCCCTTGCACCATTGGTTACTTTCAAACTAACAAACAAATTAAAAAAATAAGTACAGATACTTGATGTAAAATGTAGTGAAATAAATATCCTGATGCATGCTCAATGTAGTGGAATAAAAGTCGAAAGTACCCACGTTTAACTACTTAACAGATACATGAAAAATGTACTTAAGCACAGTAACAAAGTACTTGTACTTTGTTACATCCCACCACTGTTTATCAGATGTGGGTTTGAAGAGTATTTACTGTGTAAAGTGTTAAAATTTCTGTCTATTTGTTGCACTTTTTTGTGGAAAAACTAAAGTCATTAATACTTTAATGTAGATTTTAGTGAAAAAATTTAAAATAAAATAAAAAAATCAGCCCTAAATTCACTTAATAAAAAAAAAATGTTTTTTCCCCTGTCAGTAAGACAGTGCACTTCTAAACAAATGTCACTGTACTAATTTATGTTTACATCTGTATAAAGCGATAATATCAAAGTAACTTGATTGGACTTTTGTCTGCTCAGTTGCTGGTTTTACACTGCAGGTTTCAAGAGTTGCAGCAACATAAAAGAAGCATCAAGTTGATTAGGTACTTTAAAAGTGCTGGTAGACAGAGCTGGCAGAGAGAAATCACATTTCATCCTCCCTGCAAGAAAGCTAATAACGTTGTTATCTAAAAATCCTTTAAATGTGCTGCACCACACTCCTATAACTGAATATTCAGCTGCAATTTATTGATGCAAACATCTCTGCTCTGGTTCATCTTGCAACAGCCAATTGATGTTTTAATGGAACAAAGCTCTTTTTTTGTCTCTTTTGCTCTCATGCTGACTCGAATATATTTCAGGCATGTTTGATTCGAGGTTTTGG